TAACGATGTATTCGTGTCGCTTCTGCTCCAAGAGGTTCGACACCATTGATAAAGTGAAGACACATTTCCTCAAGAGGTAACCAAAGCCAGTGATTCATACCTTAAATACGTTACGGCTTTTGCGGTTTGGCTTTGGGTCGTAAGCCTTCATCTCTTATGCATTACAAGCTTTTATTTGTAAAGCTTTTTACTAACTTTTAAGTACACAACTAATCATCTCATTTTGTTTGGATTTATATTTAATTGTCATTATTATTACAAATTAATTAATTTGACAATTAATGTCCAAATTGTGTTTAAAGGCTTAGAGAGGGAAACACCTCATAATATGTCATAAATTATTTTTTATGAGTTTTTTTAATACGTTTTGATTGAGATTATAATGAATAATAATAAGCGCTAATTAATGGTCACTTTACGATTGTAACTACAGACTAATGTATTACGAGATTTACTTAATTGAGATTTTATTTGTGTATTAAGTTGTCATTTGGTTTACATTTTCCACGAGTTTAGTTCATGACAACTATTTTTCTCGTTTAGTACTAAATGTTATCTATATTTAATTGAATGACACCTTCAGACACAGCAATACATTGGATAAAAGTATGAAAAAAGAGTCCGATTTGACTGACGAACAATCGGAAGGCCTTCAGAACGAGTCAAATGAGGAACAAATGAATGAAGAACTCGTTGACGACACTGTAATTGAAGGCGAAGAGAACGTTGAGGCGAATGACACACAAGAACTCAATGACACGAATGAGGAGAACGAAGACGAGGAGAAGAATGAGGACAATAAGAAGACCACAATTGTTATTAAACAACAGCGAAATCCAAACAGAGTTAATAAAAGTAAAGTAAAGATGATTGAAACCGAGAGATCCATTCAAACCCGCAACAGAATTAAGAGGGAATTGCCCAACAATTTGGAGCTAAAGATCGTTAGACCCGACGACTCAGCCATTGAATTGCCCCCAAAGAGAGGCCGACCCAAGAAGTATGAGTTAAGACAAGTGCTGACCCCTCAGCTAAAGAATGCTACGCGTCGTTATCCCTGTCCTTTCGAGGGTTGCGAATATGTGGCCANAGTATGAGTTAAGACAAGTGCTGACCCCTCAGCTAAAGAATGCTACGCGTCGTTATCCCTGTCCTTTCGAGGGTTGCGAATATGTGGCCAAATATCGGTCCAATCTATGGGATCACAAGAAATTGCATACCGGAGAGAAACCATATCGGTATGTCATTCACCACATGACTATTTAGCATCGATTGTATGTTTTACGTATATTTTGATGTTTAGGTGCAATTGGCCCTCTTGTGAGATGCGTTTCCCTCAGTCACAGGTAATTATCACACAAATTAACTTTTATTTTATTTATTAATCTATTGTTTTTAAATAGCAATTGAAATTACATTTGCGAAGCCATACCGGAGAGAAACCGTATGCGTAAGTGATTGTATTGACTATTGTCATACATTTGAATATATTTTAATTTATATTAAATATATTATAAAATATATTTGAATTACACCAATAGATGTAATTGGCCAGGTTGCGAACAGTCGTTTAGGTATAATTACGATATGATTACAATTACTGTATTTTTATATACTAAATAAATTTGTTTATATTTATAGCCAAAAACCTGGTCTCAAATCTCATATGAGGACACATACGGGAGAGAAGCCTTATGTGTACGTGATTTTCACTCACTTAATGCTTAACTTAAAGACAGTGTGTAATGAATTGACTTATAAACAACACAAACATAGGTGTGATTGGCCGGGATGTGAGTGGAAGTTCCGGCTTAAGGGCGCTCTCACTGATCACAAGAAGGCAGTGCACGAGGGCGTGAAGGCGTTCACATGTGAATGGCCA